ATATATATATATATATATATATATATATATATATATATATATATATATATATATATATATAAACGCTTCTTATTGAGGCTCAAAGATGAAAACGCTACTAAATTGTTCGATAATGAAACTATGACATAGATGCAAAAAACTATCCAACGTGATTTTTTTCCATGGTCTTCTTAGTTGGCTCCATTATCTGTATACGAGCTTCTTGCCTTTACCTAAAAAAACGATAGACATAGGATAAATATTTAAAAATACTTTGTAAGTGACTCCACTGTTGGAGTCTCGAAAAATACAACCACATGCAACAACAAGCTTTTTACCATACCTTTTCATGGTTGTTTTTTGGGTATTACTTTCTGAATACAATTAGATGGATAGTACTTCTCTATATTGTTTCACACGCGCATGAACCAACTAAGTGTGCTGATATATGTGTCTATAGACTATGGGCTAGTGCACACTCATGCCGTAAAAAATTAATAAAAAAATAAATGAGTGCATATAATATTGTAGTGCTCACGTCTGTGCGTAACATACTTGAGAATTGTCCATACCCATATGACATACAACACGCATGAAATCTCTTATTAAGAATCAGATCCACATATTGTCAATTTTATTTATATTTATTCCTACATAACATAATCTTATGGGCATAACAATAATATATTTTATTTTTTAAAGAAATAAGTTTTTGATTTAATTGTAAATACAATGGGCCGGGTTCTAAGAAGACGCCCATTAGGAATTTATGAACATTGGGCCTTGATCCACGAAAAGCCCAAAAGAACTCGAGAGAGACCAAGCCCTCGATGGGCCGGACCATGCCGACCAGAATCAAGTTACCCAATAAAAAAAACGTAAATACAAGCTTTTAGAATACCGAATCAAAATTTTACACGTGTCGTCGAGTCATTGGTTGATCATTTCCCTTTCTTCAAGCAAAACATAGATAAGGCTGGCAGTTATCTCCTACCCAGAAACAAGCCCCAAATCTATACCGTTTATATTTTCGTGGGACCCACGGATACTAATAAGGAACGGTCAAGATTAAAAGATTAACACTGAGTTACAAAGGAACTAACTACACAGTAGTATAACTCTCCTCACGAAGCTCAAGCATAAAATGGCCTGCTCTGTTACCCATATTCACAGGTCTTCTTCTCCATTTTTTCTCCTTCAATTCTCAGCGGTGAAAATGGTGATGGGTTTATCTCTCTTCGTCGCTCTCTCTCTTATAGCCGCCACGGCGATTGGCAGTGAGGTACTCTCCGGAGAATCGGAGGGAGATTTTATAATCCGTCAGGTTGTCGACGACGGAGGAGTCAACGGAGGAAGTAATGGCGACGATCTGCTACTCGGAGCCGAGCACCACTTTTCGATCTTTAAGCGAAGGTTTGGGAAGTCGTACGCCTCCAACGAGGAGCATGATCACCGGTTCAGGATCTTTAAAGCTAACCTGAGGCGAGCTCGACGCCACCAGGCTCTTGATCCCTCTGCTAGTCATGGCGTCACTCAGTTTTCTGATTTGACTCCATCGGAGTTCAGGAGATCGTTTCTAGGGCTTAGAGATCGTCTTCGTCTCCCTGCGGATGCTAACAAGGCCCCTATTCTTCCTACAGATGATCTCCCAACCGATTTCGATTGGAGAGATCACGGCGCTGTCACGGAAGTCAAGAATCAGGTTTGTGTTTTTCTTCTACCATATTTTTCTATCTTCGGCTATTTCGTTTACGTTAGCTATTTTTTACTCGGTACTCTGTATCTGTTACTCCTTGTGTCAGTGATAACTTCCAATTAATTCTCTTAGGAACAAATATGACTTTTATTTATTAAACTGAGGTTTTGATTTTTGTGATTGTTTTTGTTTTTATTTTCTTAGGGTTCGTGTGGATCGTGCTGGAGTTTCAGTACAACCGGTGCTCTTGAAGGCGCTAACTTTCTTGCTACTGGAAAACTTGTTAGCCTTAGCGAACAACAGCTTGTAGACTGTGATCACGAGGTTTGATTTTTATTTTCACTTGTCTTCGATTTTCTGTTCTTTGGGGAAATTTACAGCTTGACGTGTAGATGATGACCTAATTACACGTTTGTTAATCATGGTTGCCCTCGATTAGATGCTAGAAATTTGTTTATTACTCCTGTTCTATGCTATGAGACAATTCATAAATCTTTGCGTTCATCAAGTACTGGCTGAAAGTACTTGACAAATAATTAAGTTTTAAAGCATTTCTATACTTTTTCCAGTGTGATCCAGAAGAAAAAGACTCCTGTGATTCTGGCTGCAATGGAGGGCTAATGAACAGTGCATTCGAGTATACACTGAAAGCCGGTGGACTTATGCAAGAGAAAGACTACCCATACACTGGTACAGATCGTGGAACCTGCAAATTTGACAAGAGCAAAATTGCTGCATCAGTGGCCAACTTTAGTGTTGTGTCCCTTGATGAAGAACAAATTGCTGCCAATCTCTTGAAGAATGGCCCTCTTGCAGGTAATCTCATTCAACCAAGCTTTCTTGAATCCTATTATTTTCTTCAATCAATCAGGGTTCCTGACTGCTCAAATTCTCTTAAATGCAGTTGCTATCAACGCCGTTTACATGCAGACATATGTAGGAGGCGTTTCTTGCCCTTACATTTGCTCAAAGCGTTTGGATCATGGTGTTTTGTTGGTTGGTTATGGGTCTGCTGGCTATGCTCCCATCCGGATGAAGGAGAAGCCTTACTGGATCATTAAGAACTCGTGGGGAGCGAAATGGGGGGAGAATGGATTCTACAAAATCTGCAGGGGTCGCAACGTCTGTGGGGTCGATTCCATGGTATCGACAGTCGCCGCAGTTCATACCGCCGCAAACTAGTTTATGGAGATTACTCTCACAGCTACAATTCGTGTATATATTACTGCAACATTATCACTGCCATTTCAAGCATTGGTGGGAGGGATGTCTCTCTAAAAGTAGAATTTAAAATCTCTGGTTTATCTATTGCATAGTTATATTTAATTCTTCAAGCTATTATGGAGAAGGGATTGCTTATAAGCAAAAAAACAAGAATCTGTCAATGAATTGGGGTTGGTTGGCTCACACTGCTCAACTTGATAGAGATGCCAATGAAAACTTGTCCCAATGTAAATGTCAACAATGATAGCCGAAAGATGCTTTCTTGATGTGTCATCTTTATCTTTTCAGATTCTAAACGTCAACTTGATAATGACAAAGCTTATTAAAGAAATCCATTTGGAACCATTCTCTGTTTTTCTTTCCTATTAAGGTTTCAACCATATTGAATCGACTCTTGGTCATCTCTGTTATGGTCCACCCACGACAAGTCGCTACAAATGAAAAATATCTAAAGCTATTTCTTGTGGAGAATGTCATTCATATTCTCGACGTCTGGATTGAAAGTGTGTGTATTAATGTTTCCATTACAACGATCTTGCTCTTCTTCTTTCTTGCAAATAAAAGTAGGAAGTTTCCCATCAAGTGTTTATAGGTTCTAATTTTCTACTCTTATTCAAATAAAAGCCTCACTTGCTTCACCAAACACTTGCTTTCCAGTGAAAGATTAACAATCGTCCCAAATCCAAATCCAATAATTCAACCCCTTCAATACTCTTTCAATCTACCCTTATCGCACCATCCTCATTTTAATGCTTCAGTAACCTCAATGGTCTCACTCAACCCATCTTCTCCACGAAGAAATCGGGTAACTTAGGAAGGCTTAGACAAGCAGAGTGGAGATTGTCGCTCGTGAACTCGAGAAGGCTTCGTACTTAGATGGTAATGGAGAATGTTAAAAATATTAAGTAAGAAAAGTGTGACAATGGTCGTTTCGTAAAAGAACATGCTTAAGATTGTTCAATATAACACTAAAACTATCATTTTAGTTTGAAGTTCTAGCTTGCACGTTATTTATGGCTGAACTATTTTCACTCCAAAATAAGAATCTTAAAATATAATTGGTAACCCACCAAAGTTACAACTTTTACCTCTATATTCTTTGGAACACAAACACCCTATGTGGCAAGTATTTAGAGCATTTTTAGGTTAAAATAAAAACTTAGCCTATGAACTTCCAAAAGGGTGGCTATTTGGTTACTTCTAATAAACCTCATCTCTCGCATATATTTCAATAGCACGCCTAAAGTCCATGACTGACAAACATGCTTTAGCATGAACAATACGAACCACAGGACTAGACCCATGGTCCTCATAAGAACAACAATCCTCTTTAAAACTCAAGGACACAATTCAACAACCTATCAAACAGATCTGGTTCCGGTAAGATTGTAAGAGGCACACTTCTCTTCAACCAAGGGCGATAACCAAAGCTCCAACTCATGCTCAAATGCATGGTTAAAAGTCATAGGAGTTCTAGACGACCTAAGGATGCAAGAGAACAACTAAGCAAATTGAAGCTCAAAAAAATGTTCATCTTTTACCAAGCAAGAAGCTCTAGCCGCATTATACAACAAATCAAGGACTATAATCAAAGCTCCCAACTCATGTTCAAATGCATGGCTAAAAGTCATAAGAGTTCTAGAAGAGAAGAAGATGGATGCAAGAGAACAAATAAGCAAATGGAAGCTCACAAAAATGTTCATCTTTTACCAAGCAAGAAGCTCTCGCCGCATTACACAATGAAAATTGGAGTAAGGGTCCTGCAAGCATTAACATGAAAGATGTCGTGTCATCCCTGTATAACAATCAATTCATATAAAACCCTCTTAAGTAGCAGACAACCGAATTTTTTTTCAAGGTAGCTTAGCTAGCTGTTTTAATCCATCACTTTCTTTTACCTTCCACAAGTAGATGTAATACTCGACAACAAATCTCCTGTTGTCAGAAAGACAAGTGAGGTCATTGGAAAAAGATATAATTCCCGGGTCCGATCATCGATTTTGGGTGGGAGAACAAAGTAAACCAGACGCATCAGCTCCAATAACAGCAAGATCACAAACAGTACAAATTTGTCCTTCCTGACCTGGCACAAACCTGGAACTACAGTATGGGCAAGCGACATCCTTTTGTCCTCGATAGATTGGCACATAAGTCGCTCCACAGGTCACAAAAGGGTTTCTAAAGTCATAATTCAGTTGGGAGGCATCTGTCATATTCCTCTCTGCAGCCTGTAGCACTTGCCTGGCTGTCTTAGCTTGATTCTCAATTGAGGGGTTAGTCTCAAGAAGTCTGCGTGCGAAGTTCGCAGCACTGGCAAGATTCTTAGCCTTGTAACAGACAGTCATGGCATTTAATAGAGCAAGCCTCAAATGTGGCAATTGAAGGTTGCAGTGCGTAAAATAGGCTGCAAGCTCCATCTGACGTACTGGATTGTCCTTGAGTTCCCTTCTCTTCAGTTCCATTTGCAAACCCAAAACATACTCTTTGACGATAATAATCAACTCCTTCACCTCATCGACTTCCCTCCTAGACTCGACAACGATCAGAGGGATGGTATGAAGAATAGTAAGAAAAAGACGAAGAGCTTCAGCAAACTTTCCTGATGTTGTGGCCTTGTAACCAGCTTTAAGCTTCTCCTCCAACTGAGTGAAACTGTAAATAAGTGCAGGGGATCCTTTTGTATTCGCATTACTAGATTCACTGAATCCTCGTTCAACTGCTAATGATATTATGGGAGCAGATGATGAGGCACGAAGATAGGTTTGACTCCCAGCATGAAGATCCAGAAATATGGGTCTCAAAGGAGCAAAGTTTTTAATTCCTAGTTGCCTGTTAAGCAACCGCATTGCAGTATCAAAATTACCCGCTGCAGCATGTTCTGCAGCGAGAGACGACCTCTGTATCCAAATTTGGTTGGCAGGCAGGCCAGGAGTTGGGGCCACAAAAACTGAATTGCGAGAACTGACTGATACTTTTGGAGTGTCAGCTTCAGGTGGGAGCTCCAAATCTTCTAGGTCCCATCCCCCTTCTTCCTCATTTTCTTCTGCACCTTCCCCATCCTCCAAAATTGCTGAGACATCCCCATTCTGTAAGCCATCTACATCAACCACTTCCAGCTCCTCACCCCAATCACCATCTGCAACCTCATAATCATCTTCGTCAGCACGGCCTCCACCCACATTATCCAGCCCACCTTCAAATATTCCTTTCATGACTCTCAGAAGTGGCCAATCACCACTGCACATGACTGGAGTAGGAGGTAAGAGGAGGGATGCAGTCTTGCCTTCTGGTAAAGATGGAATGTCATCTCCCAATTCAGCAGCTAGCCTTTCAGCTACATCATGTAAACCATGGGTTGATGCTGTGATATATGCAAGAGGTAAGTGGCCAACATTCTCCAAGATCTTTATGCGCTCACGAACATCACCAAGATAAAGAGCATTGTGAAATTGACCCATGACATCATTCTTAACTTCAGCAATCTTTAACATCTTGGACAGTTTTGCCGTGTTACCAGTTATGAGATAAAGGAACGATAACCTATCAAAATTTTTTGTCTTCTGGTAGGTATATTCCACAATGCCTGCATTGCCTTGGCGAAGAGCCTCCACACCCAGCCTATACCAATGATCTTTCTCATCAATTGCTGTAGCAGATGCAACTGCAATCTGAATGTTTCCACTCTCAAGAGCCAAATTGAACCTGGTTCTCTCGTCCTTCACAAAGTGAAGAGCAACTTCAGGAAACCCCTTTTGTTGCAAATATGCAATCATTGCTTGCCCACAGAGCTGTGAGTTCCTTATCATGCTCATGACATGGTCAAATCTCTTCTTCAAGAGAGAGAGTTTGAATATGTATTCTGTTGCATCAATAACAAACGATCGAACCGTTCCATCCCTATCCAAGCAAAAGAGTGTGTTGCCAGAAACCTTTGTAATATATATTGGAACATCGAGGGTTTTGATTATACCACTATCTCCATTGGGGAGACAATACTTAATGTGGTTTAGGGTAGTGTAAATAAAAATTCCATTATCATCCCATGCTCCACTCTTTACTCGAATTGTCTCATGAAGCGTGCACTGGTGAACAAGCTTCTTGTTGGCAATAATAATTGCATGTTTGCTAAGCAATGCAACACTCTCCATGTCATTTGACCAAACAACGTACTTAACAAAAGGGGTTTGAAGATCACCAAGAATAATTCTCTGTTGAAGGTCATATATAACAACTCTATCCTCTGCTCTACACAATAAATTACCAGTTCCGGCATAAAATATTGCATCTGCAGTAATGGGAATGGGGACCTTCTTAACAACCTCATTCTTAAGATTTTTTAACAAGACTTGGTTGTGACTTTTATCTAGCACAGAAAACCTATTCCGAGCCACGAACACTGCTGATCCTCCAAGTCCTCTCTTTGCATCTTGGAAGCTATCACTTCTACCAAAGCTATCCTTAGGTATGGTGTAAAATTCATAACATCCCCCATCCAGATCTGAGCAAATAAGAACTGTGTTTTCTGTAGGGCTAAATGAAAGGGTCCTTGGGCTCTGATTCAAGCTAGTCGAACCAGGCCTTCGAATCGGAATGACCTGTGAATCTTTTTTAGAGGAGAACTCATAGCAGCGTAAAAAGCGATCCTTCACATAAAATAAAGAATCACCACTAATAGCAAAGGCTGGTCTTTCTCTCTCCAGCTTAAAGACAATCATGCCACTGTCATGCCCAGCTGCCAATAGATTCATCTCAGGATGAGCAGCGAGAATCCAAAATCTATCGTGCTCTCGACGAAATGTCTGAAGTCCAGTTCGTTTTGTAGCATCCCAAATACGAATGCTTTTGTCCTCTGAATTGGAAACAATTATATCTTGTTTGGGATGGAACATCACACATGAAACATTATTCATGTGCCCCCTTAGTGTGTCCACTTCCCATGCTTTTGTGTCTGAAATAAAAAATGATCTAGTCAGCAAAAGAAGTCATTATTTATACTGTTCTATGCCAGATGTTGCATTAATAAGGCTCACTAGCAAATTTTCTCCATTTACTTTCTTCTACTTTTCTTTTGTTCATGTCGGAGGAGATAAACCAAGAGGAATATCTGATAGAATGAGTTCTGTAAATTCTATACTAAAAATGGGTACAAGTTTTAAAGATTCAATAAAGTACTCACAAAATAAATTTCCAAGCTTTGTCCAAGCTACTCCCTATGACTTAACATATTTCAGGCAGGATGTAACCTATATCTTGTTCAACATACACACATGGATGATCTTATTACTCTGCTACAGTCTACAAACTAGTGTTTTTAATAATAAATCACTATCAGGCAGGATACCTATACATACTCTCAAATGTAATCAATACAATCTAAAGATTAAACTCTATGGAGAAAGTATATGTTCTCAGTTAAGTACCATTCATTCGCCACAATTTCACCTGTCGATCATCAGCTCCAGACACAATCAATGGCAGGGTAGGATGGAATGCCGCCCAATTAACCCCTCGATCATGACCTTCCAAGACATATTTAACAACAGCATCAACTCCACCAAATAGATCAGCATTCATTTGACTTAACCGCAAGACGTCATCTGCTGGAGATACAGTCTTCTTCCTCAAGGCACCAATGTCCCAAACACGAACAGTCTGATCTAGGGAAGCGGACACAACAAGATCTTCCTTAGGGTGGAATGAAGCACACATTACATAGTGATTGTGGCCCGTCAACACAGAGATACAAGTACGAGACTGCCAGTTCCATATACGAATAGTCTGATCATCACTAGCACTTACAATCCATGGATACTCATGGTGAAATTGCACAGTACGTATATAATCAAGGTGTCCAAGAAGAGTAAATAAGCATCTATGAGTCTTATAGTTCCACACTTTAATCTTATAATCATCCCCTGGAAAAAGAAAAACCATCAATATTTTTACATAACAAATATTATTTATAAAAAGTGATTGCAATTGCGCGATTTAAATAAGTAACCCTATGGTTCAACAATGTAATTGACAGGTGCAAACTATTAAGTTCCTCCTTTTGAATAAAAACGTAGGCATGCTATACTAAGATTACTATTTTTCAATTCATGTAGAAAATAACAACCTTCTGCGATCATTTATGAACCATCATTCTCATTCTTAATATATGAAGCTTTGCATCACTGTCTACACACGAAGCAAATGCAAATAAGTAAAGCATTCAATATTTCATCGTATAACGAAGAATACTTGCAAATAATAGCAGAGAATGGGGCAAATCTTCCAGAATCTAGTTAGAGAAATAAATTTGAGGTCTGATTTCAATTAACTTGGAACAGTCCCAAAAACTTACAACAAATATCTACATCAGAATTCTAATATGTGCATCACTCTTTTTCATAAGAAGCAAAACTTTCATTGAGAAACATGATAGGATATACAAGGGCAGACAAGGAAGGAACCAACCAAAAGTAACTATACAAAAGAAAGGATTTCACTCGAAACAGATAAGGTGAACCTCTACATCTGTTTGGGATAATTCCAGAAACCATAAGTAAAAATACCAATAATACGTCAAGAAATAGCACTCAGCAATTAGTATTCTAAAGCAAAGAAGAGTAAAGACGAAACCTCCGGACACAAAAAGAGGCTGAGATTTGTGAAAGTGAACACCGCGAACAGGCCCCTCATGCTCATCAAATCTATCAATAAGCGTGCCCATCCGGTAATCCCATAACTGGATCACTCCGCTGTGAAGACTTGCAAGGATCCATGGCCTCTTACTGTGGAAACTCAACCCTTTGATTCTATTACTCTTCGTTTCAAACTTCGTCAACATCTTCTTCACCCAAAGGATTCTGCATCAAAACCCAAAATGAATTACCCCCACACCCAAAGTGCCAAACTCCACCCCCGGATCATACAATTCCCCTTACCAAACGAATTCACCACTAAAGAAAACAAATTACCCGTCAAACGACACGGCTCACTATTACATTACACGAAATTCAAATATAACCCACAATTTAAATAGAATTAACGCCCATTTCCGAGCAACGAAACAGTACTTGTTTCTAAACCTAACCACGCAAATGGGAGCCAGATCTACACAAACTTGCAACAAAAAACAACGTCATTCGCAAGAATTCATCGCAATTGTACCTCAGATCCGATCAGAATGCAAGAAATCAACAAAATCCCAGAATTGCATCAACAATCAGCACTCCAGCACAAGAAAAGAAGGCGTAAAAATGAAAAGAAAGGATCAAACGAATTGGGAAATGGAAAGATTGGGAGAGCGTAAGATGATGATTCGTGAATCAGAAAAGAAGAAAAGAAACAAAAAAACTGACAATGAAGGAGGCTCGCAGTCTTCCCCCGGATCTGGCCCTCGAGTGTCAACCCTCCTAATATTTTAAGAAAGATGAAACAAAGAAGAAGAGAGAGATGTAATTTATTTCTTAAAAATTACAATTAAGAGAGAAAATTTAAAGCAATTTTACGTACAAATAGAAACTTATATGTAATAAAATATTTTCTAAATTAATAAAAATATTCATCTTTATTTCTTTCAAAAATATTTTTATTAATGCTTTATTCTAAAACTTAATTATATATAATTAAAGGTATTTTAATTTTTGTAAAAATTTAAATTTTTTTTACCGTTACTTTATTTGGATAGAAAGCTAATTTTGCGTTCCAAAAATACCTATAAACTTTAAAAAATAATATTAATATTTTTAATACCCTTAAAATTAAAGAAAAATATCATAAATATTAAGGAGGTTAATATAACTTTTATAAATTCACGAGTATTTTTTAAAAATAATAATAATGATAAAGATATTTTTTGGATTTATCTTTCTTTATAAATTTCAAGAGTATTTTTAAAATGAAATATTAATTATTAAAATATATATATTTTTTTTAGTTTAAGTATATTATTAAAAATTTTACCCTTTTCCTAACTAGTTTTAATTAATTTGAAAGTAATTTTTTAAAAATATATAATAAAATTGAGTTACAAATTTTAACCAAATATTTAAATATAAATAAATAAATGTTCTTTTACGAAATAATATTTTATTTTATTTTTGTTAAAAATAAAAATGGAATAAATAACTCCAACCGCTCAAATTAACCCAATTTAGGGTTAAAAAATTTATAGTTGGGTTGGAAATGGTAAGAATTAATTTTGGTAGAAAAATTTACCATAAGATCCAATGAATCTCTAAATTTTACCATCTTTAGAATGGGCCTAACTGCTTTGGCCCATAACTCCTGAACGGACTCAACCATCTGCAGGCCCTACATTCATGGGCCTTAATGGCCTCTGACGAGCCCATGAGGAAGCTGTTTCAAATTCGTGGCAAATTTACCCACTCCGAGTAAATCAGTATATAAAGTAATATTTTAAAAAAATTACATGACAAGTTTGAATCTGATTATTAAGTTATTAATAATAATAATATAAAGCACTTTTCATAAAAAGAATAATAAAATTAAATATATATTTTTTTGTTACATTAAATAAACTCATAAATATGTACTTTGATTTTGGGTATCAAATATTCCTGAATAAAGCAATATAAGGTGGAGGAGTAACCCCATGTGACAACCATTACACACTACATTTCAATTATTGTCTTATTTTTAATATTATAATGTTTCTTTTATACGCTCGTTTTTTTATCTAAATAAAAAATTAATATCTCTAACCGACCATGTCTATTAAAAGATCCTTTCGTCTCCTAAAAGATCTTTTCGTTGAATATATGATGTATTCTTTTGTTCTAAAGTTACTCAGTTTTAAAAAGATGTGTAAAATATCTATCCTAAAACGTTTATTTTAATTATTATTTTCTTTGTTTAATCTTCGTCTATTAAAAAAAAAATATACACTATTAAAACATATAGTATTATGGGTCGGATTTGAAGCTTGTGGGTCTGAAAATGGTAGCAAGAAACCTAATAGACTCAACACCGTCCAAGTCGAGGTGCTCTACCTTTCTACCCCTCTACGATCTTGACAATAAAATGGTGAGAAAGAGTATAAATGTAAAGGACTCATTTCACTAATGAGTTACACAGCACTACTCTAACTCAGCTCGACACTACTTCGGTTTAAATACTAACGTGAAACAGTGGAGAGTGTTGAGTACAAAACTACATCGATGTAAGTATCTTTCTTAGAGTTATAGACTGATTCAGTAACGTGACATGTCGATTCAACTTAAACCGATTAGATTATTGGATGCGTTTCGATTTAAAAGCTTCGTAAGTAATAATCAAAGTTCACTTTTGATAATAAAATATTTGTGTTTAATTAATTAATTAATTAATTTGATTTTGTAGGAAGTCTTTGGACAACATAGCCCACAAGAAAAAAGGGCAAGGTTGTCGTTTAGCTATAGAATTTGATTTAATTTTTTTAATGAATATTTAAATGGGATTGCAATCTTATTTATTTATTTATTTATTTGATCTTTTTGCTTCACCACAAGAATATGCAACGTGCTCTTTATTTATTTATTTATTTATTATTATTATTTATTTATTTATTTATTTATTTATTTATTTATTATTATGGTTATTTTGTCAATACAAATAAGCAACTATTTATAATAATTTCATAAATTTTATTAACGTATAAAAGAATAAATTTTTGGGAGATTTTTTCCCAATTAATATTAAAAAATATTCATTTTAAATATTTTTTATTAAAAAAGGTAAAACATAAATATTATCTCTTACGAAAAAAAATGTATAACGCTTCAAAATAAATTATTATAAATAATTAAACTAACTTATTTTATAGATATATATATATATAGTGAGGAAGGATTGGGCAAAGTTGGGTCGGGACTGGGAATGTAACCCTGTTCTCATTCCTATTTAGTTAACAGAGAAAAATCTCCCCCTCCCTCTATCACTGTTTAAACGAAGATTCTCCACACGTTCAGGATTGGTCTCCGTGAGGCCCCAACCCCATGAATTAAATGAACATCTCTAATTTTTAATTTATTGTGATTTTTGAGTTTAAAAAACTCTCAAACTCAATCAACGAATCGAGATTGAGCCGAGATTGAGCCGACTAAGAAAACATGGATGTGAATTTCTAATTTGAGTTTTTTTTTTCATTACAGCACTACACCAGCTTGGTTACATGACCCGCCACCTTAACTTAGACAAACCATATTGGTCCAGTGAACTTCAACCTCAGTTTGGATAAGTCAGTTAGCCATGTGACCCTCAACGTCATATTGAGTAAGTTAGCTCAGTCATGTATAGAGTAATCTATCGTTACTTCTCTCATCTCTCGTTTAAACATGAATTCTCTCCTCCGTTCAGGACAAGTTTCACAGAATAACCTTTGATCAGGTTTATAATATCAATAAAATCATTTATTTTAAATCTTCAAAGGCTCCATTAATAATAATAAAAGTCTGAGTTAATTAATCGATATGTCGGCCAACATTAGAAGAAAAAAGGCACTTGTTGTCGTCTAGCTTTTGTGATTTTTATGAATATTTAAATTGGATTGAAATCTTATTTTATTTTATTTATTTAATATTTTTTTGATCAATACAAATAAACACCAAATATTTATTATGCAACTATGTACTATAATTTTTTGCTTGTTACTAAACCCTAATCAATTATTATACGATTAGTTCCAACATGTTAAATTAATTTTTTGTTACGAGGGTTAAGCTTTTGCTATTAAATTCAAAGTTGACTTATTTTGTTGACTTTGTCGGGCTTACTTTAAGAAAGAGGAAATGAAAGGAGTTTCGTAAATTATAAATTAATGTTTTTAAAGAAATGTTCGAAATATAAAATTAAAATTTTATCAATTGCACAAAATTAAAAGTTTATATACCCTTTTTTAAAATATATAAATAAAATTGACATCAATTTTAATTTTAATTAAAAAAATTAAAAATGATTATTTTGAGTTAGATATAAAAATTTAACTTCGAATAACTAAATTTAAAATTTATTGGATATAAATGATTAAAGATCAAAATTAAACATGTAACATGACATTACATTCTCCTAGTAAAACACGTTTAATCATGAATTTCTTATGATTAAGCTACCGAAATGAAATGCACCTTTCTTTTCGAAGGTTCAATCATAAGAACTCAATGATTAAGCGTGCGTTGCTTGGAGCATTTTTATGTTAGGTGAGACCCGAGTAAAGGAATAATACATGAATAAACCGAAATCGCATTCGAATGAGAACGATCCTGAGAATAGAATAGTTAAAAAAAAATTAAATAAATTGAAAGTCACTATTTATACTAACAAGGTTTATTTTTTATAAATATTAATTAGTGTATATAATTTTTAAATTTATGAGAGGTTTACTCGAGCAACTTGACATAATTATTAAACTAATTTTAGAAAATCAATACAAAAAGTGTATATATATATATATATATATATATATATATATATATAAATATGAACTTTTTGTATAATAATAACAATAAATTATATCTATTAAATTGTATTATTATTCATTCTTGATAAAATATGAACTTTTTGTGTGTATATATATTAATAACATAATTATGAGATATTTTATATAATTAATGATTTTGAGATATGGATAAGAAATAATTAATATTTGTAGGTATTTTAAAAAACAATTATAATTAAATTTATTTTCTTCCCAAAAAAAATCCCTAAATATCGGCAAAATTAGGGAAAGGTAGGCTCACCAACCAAGTTAGACTTTGATTTGATTTCAAATTATCTAATTATTATTATTTTTTTAACAAAATTTTTAAAAATAACCATAGTTTCTATTTATTTATTTATTAATTATTATTATTGTTATTATTATTAACGTTTAATGTTAAAAATGTCACACTATTATATTATTTTATGACAACATTTTAAAAACGAACTTTTATTGTTAATTTTTCATTTAATGTCACATGTTTTAGATACGAAATTTAAAATTTCAAAGACTAAATATGTAATTTGAATGTCTATTTAATATATAGGGTCGAGACCTACAAGTACCTATCTTGAATAAAGTGAAAAATTTCCCTTTAAATAGAGGATGAGAGAGAGAATTGGAAGATACTTTTACCCGAAATAGGGTCGATGAAGATTATATTCTTTCCAATCTCGTTAAATCTTCTCCCCACCCTCAATTTATACATTAAAATTAAGGCAAAAAACTAATTTATTTTATATTTATATTATAGAAATATATTTCTTTAAGCTAAAAACTCAAATTTTAAATTCCATTTATTTGTTCTGAAAACAGAATTTTTAATGTTACATTGAATTTTTATAAATTATATCATAAATTTACTTATAAAATATAAATATTATTGAATTTATTGAAATTTTTACCCTTTTAATAGAAATTATTTATTAAAAAAATTAAAATTATAAAATATATAGAAAAAATGAGAGAAAATTGGGTGAAAAACCATAAATTTCTACCCATGGGGAAGACGTTAAATTTTATATTTAGCTCAACATGATCGACATGATTTCTTCTTTTGGTATCGAATGTTCAAATCTTTATATTCTCACATATTATACTAAACAACATGGTCGACATAATTTCTTCTTTCAGTATCAAAGGTTCAAATCTCTATATTCTCATATATCATGCTAAAGGATCGAGCTTAACACATTGTATACTCTGACTAATAAATCAAAAGTTAGAATCTCCGAACTTAAAACGTGTATTTAAAAATCATATAAATAAACATACAGTTTAATATTGATTTTATAAAGGAAAGCAAAGAATGGATATTAAAATTTTCAGGTACACACAATACCCTCCCTCCACAGTCATTTTGGTCCCCTTACCAAGTTACCACTTCTTCATCTCTCTCTCTCTCTCCTCTGAATCGCTTTCTCTCTCCTCTGAATATTTTATTCAAGAGTTGCAGAGGAGAAGAAAATGGTGGGATTTAAATAAGCCGATTCAAAGGCTAACCCCATGTCTTCGATTCCTCCAAAAAACAAGAAATAAACCCCAAATCTCCTCCTTTTTCTTCTTCTTCGCTCATAGTTACACCAAATTCTCTGCTAAACCCATCTTCATCGCTTGCTCTGTTCTTGAAATTGAAAAAAATTGAAGAAGAAAACAGAGATATGAAGATCCACTGTGATGTTTGCAACAAAGAAGAAGCCTCTGTTTTTTGCCCCTCCGACGAAGCCGCCCTCTGCTCTGCCTGCGACCACCACGTCCACCGAGCCAACAAGCTCGCCGAGAAACACAGCCGATTCACACTCTTCCGATCCACTCCCACCGCCAATTCACCGCCGTCGTGCGATATCTGCCAGGTCCGGCGAGCGTTTCTATTCTATCTTGAAGACAGAGCAATCCTCTGTAGAGAATGCGACATTCCAATTCACGGCGCAAGCGAACACACCCAGAAACACAGCCGGTTTCTTCTCACTGGTGTGAAGGTTTCACCGTCGCCGGCGACTTCCTCTTCCTCCTCCTCTATCTCCGGCGGCGGCGATGAAAGCGAGGAGGTCACAATTGAAGCTGAAATTGGGATCTTTAAGGCGAGATCGAGGAAGGAGGCGAAAATGGGGTCAAAAGGGTTGCTTCGAGGTCCTCTAATGGAGGATTTGCAGGCACCGATTGTGGGGAATTTTGGTGGGATGAGTGAAAATGGGGTTTCGTTTTCGACAAGTAACATATCGGAGTATTTGGAGAGCTTGCCGGGTTGGTGCGTGGAGGAGTTTCTTGATTCTTCGTGTGTTGCTGATGTTTTCTGTAAAGTTTGAAGCTTTTTTTAGAGAGAGGGGAAAGATGGAAGAATGATTCCGACCGCCACAATGCCACTTTAAACTTTCATCTGTTCCTAATAGTCTTGTCGTGAGAGCTTTCTTTTGTAGTCATTACGAGTTTATTTTACCCTTTCAGTTCTTCATATGTATAGTTACCTTCTTTATGTATGTGTTCTAAGCGATTTTGATAGAATATATTCTAAAGAAAAAGAAAGAAGAATGAATGCAAAATAATAATAAAAAGTATAAAATAGAAAATAGCAAAAAAAAAAAAACCCCCATACAATTGAATGAAATTTCAGACACAGTTAACATGGTGTGATAATTGATTTCTTGAAATCTTCAAAAACTAAATAAACACAACACCACACTATAGAGGTAGTTGAAATAGAATTTATAGATTAACATAATTTAGTAGAGTACAGTTAACATGGTGTGATAATTATAAGCTATAAAATAATACTATATTTCCATCACTCAACTGGGAATAAAAATGGAAAAGCAAATATTTAAATATGTACAATTGAATGATATTTTCAGACACAATATGCCATTCTGCTACATATTAAAAGAAAGCAACACAAAGATTGCATCTGAAACTTGAAATATAATGCCCTTTCCCCCGTTTTCTTTTTTTTTTTTTTTTTTTTTTTTTTTTTTTTTTTTTTTTTTTTTTTTT